CATATGAATTGAATATTTAAACACATTTGTTGACCTAAATAAGACAAGAATCACTGAAAAACAAATTTTTCGCACATGATTGCTAATATTGTTGGTCCACATTTTACAAAAAGTCCTTCCCATTATTATCTGCTGGTCTCATGTTGGGCACCATTATGGATTTCTTTTTCCTCAGCTCATAAATAGAATAATATATCAAAGTTTTTAGTCGGTGGTAACCAAAAACAGATTATTGACACAAATAAATACAAAACACGTAATCGATTGGACCCATGTTGGGCGCCAGTTTCAATAATAAAGTAATTTGTAATTCAATTTTTTTAAAATATGTTTAAATATTTTTTTTTATTGTTAACGATTCTCTACAAAATCTAGCTAAATTTTTTGGTTCACATTTTACGAAAAATTCATCCCATTACTATCTGTACGTTGGGCGCCATTGTAGTATTTTTCTTCTTCAGCTCAAAAATTTAATAATATACCAAAATTTGTAGTCAAAATAAAACAAATTATTGACACAAATAAATCCCAAACACGTAATCGATTGGACCCATGTTGGGCGCCAGCTCCAATAATAAATTTAATTTTATTTCTGAAAATGTGTACAAGATAGCTTTAGATATATATTTGTTTATTGTTAACGATTCTTTAAACCCCCTAATTTACAAAATCTAAGCAACTTATTAGAATGGCTCCACGTTGGGCGCCATTTCAAAAAAGTATTAAAATATATCATTTTGATTTGTTTTAGTCTGTGGTGAATAATTTTCTTAATAATTCTTGGGAAAAAGTATCCAAGACACAATGTTGATTGGCGCCATTTCTAGAAAAATAAAAAATTAGTTTAATTTGCCAATTCTTTGAGAAAAATTAAAATTTATTTTCTTACCGAAAATTTTTCATTTTTTTTTTTTTTTTTTTTTTTTAAGTTTTTTTGAAGAACCCCACTAAAACTCTCCAAAACAATCAATAAGCAACTTCCGGTTCTCTTTTCTTTTGGTTTCCGTTTTCAGTTTCATTGCTGTGTATGGGTGTGTGTGTGTTATGTAGAAACTTTAAGCGAGAAGGCGGTTTTAATTAGTGGCCTAAGTAAACTGAAACTGATGGCGGTCAACACACTGGCTGCCTAGCCGGTTGGGTTGCACTTCAAGGCAATATATGGTTGTTGTTGTTTTTCTTATCTCACAGACAGAAACTGACCCCTTTCGTTTGAGTAGAAGGAAAAATTACCGAAGTACTACTGGTAGCAGTAGTTGTTGTTATCGAGCCAAGGGCTAAGCACACATTCACAGCCAAAGGGTAAATGAGACAAGACAAGCAAAATTTTTTCGTAGATGCGATATAAATAAAAATAACAACAAAAACAGTGAAACCGGCTGACCACTCGACCAGCCAGTCAGCCATCCAGACTAATATTACACATTAACCTCCTTTTTTTAATAAACAAAAATAAAATAAAAAATTATGGTGTTTATAGCCAACAAACATCAAAGATAACAGCAACGTGATGTCCACATCTCTTAACTTGACTCCTTCCCTGGCCAAAGTTGACCAAGGCAACTGCTTGACTGTGTAAGTCGATAACAGTTAAAATGTAAACTAACAGTTACACCCCTTTTTTTCCATAGTGGAGGACCCCGGTTTTTTTTGTGAAGGCCATAAATTAATTTTTTCCCCCGCTGCAGTTTGGATAGAGGAGGGCAGGAACCCAGCCACAAGACAAAGTTCATTAACTTGTTTAATTAACACTATTTTTGGTATTTGACGCCCTAGCCATTTGTAAACAAATATTTGCTTGAGTGTAAAGGCTTTCCTGTTATCTTAAAGGACCTGCTTCGTTCTTTTTTCATAAATTTATTATTTGTTGATTTTATTAGCAAAAAAAAACAGCACACAAAAATAACAACAACACTTTATGTTTGACTTTTTATGGCTTATTTAACAACATAGAAAGCAAGTTCCTTTACCCTTTGTTTCCTCCTTTGTTATTTTTCTTCTTTTTCCTCTTCCACGTTTAACATTCCTGTTTGTTCTTGGCTTAGACCGACCATATAAAAGTTTATTGATTTCTTGTAACTGTTGTGGGTTGATGGTATGTAGTTGCTTTCGTTTCGTAGCGTTTTTTAACTGAGTTTCTGCTGTCTAATAAAGTAACACAAAACTTAGGAGGCGTGTCTCAAAACAACAACAACAAGAGGAAGAATAAGAAGAAAAATTTGCCATGAATTTGTTGCACTTGGTTTGCATGTCTTTGCTTGCATTGTTATTCTATTCCATAGTGTTCTATGTTCCCTATTGTTGTGAAGTCTTGTTTGCCAGGCAGTTTATCTGCCTTCTGACGGGATTTTTTGCACTCGTTTTTATTCCTGTTGTGGCCACAAACTTGTCTAGTCTTGTTACCCGATAAAATATGTTGGAGTTTGCTCAACAAAAAAACAACAGCCAAGGATATAGGGGTACACGAGGAAAAAAATAAATGATTTGATATAAATGACCCAACGTTGGGCGCCATTTGGCACATGGTGCGAATAAATAATTTCTAATGAACAAAATCTTTCTTTTTTGTTAATTTCTTGCAATAGGCAACTAAAATATTGTAATATAAAAATACTGATCCAATTTTTGTTGAATTTTTCTAACTATTTCCCAACGTTGGGCGCCATTTGGCACATGGTGCAAATTTTTTTTAATTAAAAAAACCTTTTTTAATTACTTATAATAGCCACATAAATATGTTCTCTTTAAAATAGTCAAAATATTGTTTCCATTTTTGTTGATTTTTTTAAATATATATATATATATATTTATATATTGTTGAATTTTTCAAAAAAAAAAATATATATTTGTTTAATATTCAACAAAAACAATTATTAGAAATACAATTTTGTTAATAAAAAATCATAAAAATATATTGCTTGGAAATAAAATTTCGATTAATAAAAAATTAATTAAAGAAAAAAATATTTTTGTTAATTTTTAAACAAAAAAAAATTAAACACTTTTGTTGAATTTTCAACATTTTACATTTTTTATTTTTTGAAAAAATTATGTATTAAAAAATTATAATTTTCCTATTTTAAAATCTATATTTTTCTATTAAAATAGTTATAATTTTTTTTTTATATTCAACAAAAAATGATTTTTTTTTCTATAAATATATAAAATTTTTTGTTTAATATTCAACAAAAAATGTAAACAAAAATTCTTTGTTAAAAGTTGAACAAAAAAAAATAAAAACAAAAGGAATTAAAATTCTAATACAAAAATGTTTAAACCGTTTTAAATTAAAAATAATTTTAAGCAGTTTTGTTGAAAGTTCAACATTTTGTATTTTATTCCATGAAGAAGGAAATTAACCCTTTTTACTAATTTTCATGAATTCATAAAAAAATATTTTGTTATTAAACAACAATTGTTTAAAACTAAACATTTTGTTGAATATTCAGGATTTTGTTGAATTTCATTATTTCATATTTTATTAAAAATGTGGCTATAAAATTACTCTAAAATAAAATTTAATAAAAATAACAATGCAATATAAAATTGAAAATTGCTTAAAAATTTTTGTTGAAAATTCAACATTTTATTTAATAAAAATCCTAGGAAATAAATTATTTAATATTCAACAAAAATAATTTTTTTTCAAATTTATCTAAAATATTTTTTGTTTCAAATAAAACAAAAACAAAAAATAGTAATAAATTGAAATAAAACAAAAAATTGACAAAAATATTTTTGTTGAATTTTCAACATTTTTTTAATATACACAGGGTTTTCCATTTTTTTTTTTTTTTTTTTTTTGAAAATATTTCTCTTTCAGTGTACTTGTTGTTCGTCGATTGACAGCTGCCAGTTTAGTAGTATTTTTTTGCTTGTTTCACCATATGTCAGTTTGAAAATGTAACAACCATCAGAATGGAAGGAAAATGTCAGTGTGTTCGAAAGCTTTTTTTTTTGCCTTTTATATAAAAAGTGTGCGGGTTTTTGTTTTCAATTTTTTACTGGGTTTTTTTAACTCTCTTTTTTTTTTAATATAAATTCAGTCTCCTTATATTTTGGTTTTGAGGTTGGCTGTTAAGTATTTAACGCCTTAGGCGTTAAAACTGGCATGCAATGCAAATAGATTTCTTGGCAAACGGCTGGCTAATTTATGTATGTAAGCATATGGATTGATGCAGTGTTTTTTTCGCAGAAAACAAAGACAACAACCAAAAATCCCAAAATAAAAATTAAAAGTGATGTTGAAAGCAACAATGAAGAAAGCAACAATAAAATTTCCGAAGAAAATACTTCACAAAATGTGAATAAAAAATCACAAACAAAAAAAAAATCCCCAAATAAAAAAAAATTAAGAAAAAAAAAATCAACATAAAATGTTGAAACTAAAATTTCATAAAAAATTAAAAGAAAAAATGAAAACAATCTAATAACAAAATTGGAAATTAAAAACAATCTTAAAAATTAAAAAATCGAAAAAAAAATCAAGTAGAAAAATAATTAAAAATATGAAACCTATTTTCCAAATTTCTTTAAAAATTTTCATTGTTTATTTTTTTTTTTTTGGCTCTTTATTTTGATACTCGGTCATATCTGATCGATCTCAAACGTATCTCCATTTTATTATTATTATTAATTTTTTTTAATTAATAAATTATATTTCCTATGAAATGACCTTAAGAATGTCACTTCTGTGCACTTGTACTCCAATTAAATCCCTTACTAATCCATATTCATGGTTCAAAACAATTAATTGACATAGTAATAATAACAAACGTAAAAAACGAAGACAGTTTTTTTTTGCAATAATTAATGAATAAATTAAAATGGTATTAAATAGTCATTTAAAAGATCATAAACTATTTTTCTAAATCGCAAACAAGTCACATTGTTTATTTTTTCGTATTGGAATTCAGGGTGTTGCTTTTTAAATCCATATTTAATTTCAACACTATGTTTTTTGTTTTGTAATTGAAAAAAAAAATGAGGAAAACTTTACTAACCTGTGTTTGAGTCAGACCCAGACTCGCCGCCAATTCAGCACGTTCGGGTAAGGCCAAATATTGGGTACGCTGGAAACGGCGATTCAATTGCTGCAGCTGCAGTGAACTGTAGATGGTGCGGGGTTTGCGCATTTTCTTGCCTTTGCCATTGACACGTAGACCGGAATCTTCGCATTTGTCCGATATGGAGAAATCTGAGAAGTCTGTAAAGAGAAATTATTAAAAAAAATATATATAATATTAATAGGAATTAAAAAATAAATAAATAAAAAAATTCTTAAAGATAATATATTTGATATGAGAAAGAGAAGGAAGGACATGCTTTCCTTATATCCTCCCTTAAAATCCACCTTAGGTTTTGCCGTTAATTACTGCAATTATTATTATTTTCTATAACAACTCAACAGCATATTGAAATACAAATTTCCTTATAATAGCAACAATTAAAAACATTTAAATCTGTCTCTATACACTTTTTTCTGAACAAAAAAAAAAAAACAAAAACAATAAAGAAACTATTCCTTCTGAAACTAAATCAAAGTTCTCTCCCAACAGTTCAAAGTATGCAATGATAGAATGAAAATGAAAACTATTTTTTTATTATTTTTTTCTTCTGCAATACAAAATAAGAAAAAATATTCATACATATTTCTATACGTAGTATATATATATATATATATATATATATATGTGAACTATATTCTAAGCTTTTAAAAGCCCATGATGTATAATACAAAATAACAATGACCATAGAAACCGACCAGCCAACATCCAACAGGCCAGTCAGTATTATTCTTATTCACCGACTGGCAGACAGATAAAAACCTGGACAAACGGACAGACATATGGAAAGAATGGCCTGTAATTAATTACAACGCCAAATGAAAACTTAATTACAGCAATTACAATTACCTAGCAGCAGACACTCGATTCATGTGTGGTATAAAATACACACACACATATATATGTATGTATGGGATAGAAACATATGTATGTTTATTTATTGGCCGGTATATATATTTTGTGATCAAAAAGGATGACACACGCATACATATATGCTCAGCGAATTTATGTCAAAATATTACAACAAAAATTGTTCTATTTATAATCTGCTGTATAAACATTTTATAAGGTTAAGAAAAAAAAATACATATATATATATATATATATATATTTATATATTTAATTTTAAAATAAAAAATCAATATTTTTAATAAAAAAAAACAATTTTATATTTTTTTAATATATATATATATATATATTTAATTTTAAAATAAAAAATCTATATTTTTAATAAAAAAATTATATTTTTTTATGATTTTTTTATATATAATAAAAAAAAATAAACAGTACTTATTAAAAATTAATAAATCTTATTTTTTTTAAATCATTTAAAAAATATATAAAAAAATTTATAAAAAATTTTAAAATTTTTTAATTAAAAAATAATATTTTTTGTTTAAGAAAAATAAGAAAATATTATTTTTATACTATTGTCTTCTATATTTATTTCTTAAAAGTTCAGTAAATTAAAATATTGATTACTTGTTTTAAATAATTTTTATTAAATTAAAAAAATTTATTTTTGAAAAAATAGTATTATTTAAAAATCCTTCTTTTTTAATAACAATATATTTAAATTTAAAAAAATATAGAAGTAGTACAAAAAATTAAACAGAAAAAAAAATTATTTTTGTTATTAAAACCAAAAAAAAAATTAAAACTTTTTTTTTTGAAAAAAAAAATATTTAAAACTTTTTTTTTGAAAAAAAAATATTTTTAAAAAGGCCTCCTTAAAAAATCTATATTAAAATATTAAAAAAATTATTTTTGAAAGAATAATATTTATAAATTACGTTATGTTTAAATTTTGTTATTATTTTTTTAAATAATAATAACATAATTATTTTCAAAAAAATTGCTGTTTTTTTTTTTTTTTTTTTAAAATTGTAGGGTTTAATTTAAAAAAAAAACTATGTTGTTAGGGCAACTACGTTGTCAGGGTATTATTGCTTTGTGCAGCCCCAAGAGTTTGTAACGCCTCGAAACATTGGTCCTAGACCCAACTTTAAGTATACCGATAGTCATCGCTCGACTATCTGAGTCGATCTAGACATGTGTGTCCGTCCGTCCGTCTGTCCATTATACTTTGTAAACACGATACAGGCCACAATTTTGGACCAATCTTCACGAAATTTTGCATGTAGGTTGGGTTCTGTCCTATGATGATCGTTTAATATTTATTGGATGAAATGGACGAAAAACTTTATTTTTGTTTGATTTTCTGGTCGCTCGAAATTCCGCAATTATAGCCCGAAAATCGCGAAATTTTACATGGAAAACGGACTCGGGCTAAGGCATAAGCATGCCTATTTTCATAAAGATTGGTCAATATATAGCGGGTCAAATACACCTTGACTTTTGTGTGAAGAATAACAAAATTTGTATTCTATGGCGTATATATTTACTCCTGAAGGATATAGACCCGATAAGTTGATAGTATATCCAAGGGGAGGTGTTGGTTGATATTTAAATTTATACCAATTATATTGTCGTATGTACTCGGATGTGAGAAATACACGTAAATATTTACAGGTGTCTAGGTAATCAGATATTATTTAGTAATCCATTACAACACTGGAGGGCGGAAATATAGAGCTGATCGCTTTGAAATGCTCCATGAGGTTACAGATATGGTCAAGGACAAACGCCTATAATTTTTGTTTATGATCAGATAATAATTTTGGGAACTTTCGAGTCGATCTATAGGCCACAATTGAAAGCCGAACATCACAACCCAACCCACGGTGAAGGGAATCTGGACAAGTAATTAGAAATGCTGTACTGAATATTAGTAATATATGGAATATTTCTCAGTGTAAGGAAGAGGTGCTGTTGACCTCTAATCGGGTGTAAATATCACATAATATTGCCCAGGCTCGGAATAAACATTCGCAGAAAGTTAGAGTTCCGTGGTAGTTGTGTAGGGTATCGTATGGTCGGCCCCGTCCGACTATACTGCCCCGCTCACTGGTTTTTATAATATTTTTTCAAAATATTATTTTTTCCAAATTTTTTAATGACTATCATTTTCGTTTTTGTAATTATTATTTGTTTGCAATCAATGATATTTTTCATAAGGTTTTTTTTAATAATACAAAACATTTATATTTTTTTATATATCTATAAATTATATTTGGCATAAAATTTCAAAAATCAAAATCCACAATTAATCTCCTATCTCACTATTCCAAAAGACAATATGACCCCATTAAAGAAGTACCCTTTGAATTACCCCTTTAAAAAGCTCTCATGTTATTCAAATCAGATCTAAAGAAAAACAAAAAACAACTCCCCTTTCTTAGTATAGGGCAGCTAAATTTGTAGGTGGATTCATCCTGCAATTTTTTCTTCTTTTCTTTTTTTTCGTTTTATTTTTCTTTCATAGAATCAATCATTGAAATAGGTCAGTAGTTAGTTAGTTTAGTGTTTTTGTTGTTATTCATTTTCCCAGCAATTAAGAACATTAATAACAAAAACAGCACAAAAACAGTGCTGCCATATTTTTGCTATTCTATACAAATTCATCATTTGTCTCTGTCAATCTATCATTTTAATCAAAAAAACACGATGACATAATTAAACGTTTTTTTCGAATACAATGTGTGCATGTACGTATGTTTGGCTGTGTGTGCTCTGACGGAATGCTTTGTGTGTTCTCTCAAAAAAGTAAAAACACAACTAAAAAATGAAAATTAGAAATTTATTGTCGATATTTCCGCTTGAGTGAAATATCAGCTTTACCGCTCTCGAAATTTGTATTGAAATACAAAAAAAGTTTAACCTTGAGATTTTCAAAATAACAAATAACAACAAAAACCAATTGATGATGATTATAAAGAGGAGATAGAAAACAATCAAAAACAAAACAAACATTTAATTTAAATTTGCAAAAAAAAAATGTTTGAACTGTTTTTGAAATAAAACAAAAAGTATGCATAGTTCCTCTATAACTATGCTATATGTCGCACTTCAAATTGTCAATCATCAATTGCCCGAACACTCAACAGAAAATTTGTATTCAAATAAATAAAAATCACCGATTAGAAGTGGGTGTATTTTGGCAAAAATAAATAATAAAATACTGGTTAACATTCAAAGTGAGCAGTGGCAAACCAAAATGCAATAAATTTTCTCCCTCTATACACTCAACCAAAGTGTTAATATAAATATATCATAATAATAGGCTACTTGTCAGTTTTGGGTTGAAAAATTAAATGAATAAATAAATAAAAAAAAATTGTGGTAGCAGACCATAACAAATTAAAAATAAAAGGGAGTTTTGCTTGTTGTTCTGAACCCCACTCTCTTTTAGTGGTCATCTCAGCAGGGAGTTGTCGAAACTGCTGTGCTTGCCCAGCAGCATGCAGATTCAAATCTAAACCTTTCTTTCACAATATTCCCACAATGGTAATACAAGAACAAAAACAACAAGAACAAACATGACCAATTATTGTTTTTTTTTTTTTTTTTTTTTTGGTATTCACAAATTAAAAGATCAATCCATGAATGAAAAAAAAACACTTTAAAGTCAAATAAAACCAAAAAAAATCCCCCTCGACTTTTTTAGTTTGTTTTGAAGATGACCAAGCAAAATTGTTATTCTTGTTGGAAAAGGGGTTTTGTTGTTTGTGTCTTTAACATGTTGTATTTACTACTGTCTTTACCACTTTGTGTTTCTCTCTTTAGATCAACGTCATCATAATGATCATTATTATCATCATTATCGTCATCATCATCGTCATTATTGTTATTATCTCACTGTTGGCCATTGTGGCTGCTCAAATCGTTCTTTTGTGTATTTAAGTGCCATTGATAGGATTCTTTTGTTGTTGTTGTATGAATTATAAGAGCACTCTCTAGACAAGTGTGAATTTTGCCACATCAATGAGACACAGCATCTTCAATCACAAGCAGCAGCAGTACAAACAGCAACAACAACACGACCGCTAAACTTTGCAATAAATCACACTTCAAATTAACAATAAATACAAACAAATCAAAATGGTAACACAACAATAACAATAGATTAGGACAAATACATACAACAACAACAATAATAATATTAATAACATGAATAATGACAGGGAATACAATGTTGTCAATATTTATAGGAGAATAATGGACAAAATTTATAAAAAATAAATATTTTTTTTATAATAAAAAATATGTTTTAAAAAATTATACAAATAACTTTTGAGAAGAATAATTATAAAAGGATTTAATTTAAAGAACAAGTTAACAAAATATGTTTTTTGTATTACTGAAATTATTATTATTATTATCATTTTTTTTTTTTTTTTTTTTTGGTTCAATAAAATCAGAAAAAAATTGTTTATATAGAATAATAACCAAATTTTAATACAAAATAAAATTGTTGGGAAAAATTATCTTTAGAAAATTTTTTAAACAAATTTATTAAAAAATATATTGTCAACTATATAAAAATTTAAAAAGATATTATTATTGCCGAAATTTTTAAAAATATATTTTTCCCTTTTAATACATAAAAAATATTTTTTTTATGAAATAAAGTAGAAAATTGTATGATTATGTTTATACCCTTTAACACACTCTGGTACAGGGTATTATGTCTTTGTACATATGTTTGTAACAGGCAAAGGGAAACGAGATAGACACATGGTTCCCATTTGAGAATATGCATAGAATCACTTTCTAAGTCGATTTATGCATGTCCATCCATCCGTCCGTCCGACCGTTTGTCCATGTTAAATTGTAAACAAATTACATTTATGATCCGAATTGGATGAAATTTGGCATAGGTCACTTATTTGGCCCAAGGACGAACCCTATTGCAATTGGGAAAAATCGGTTCAGGTTTAGATATAGCTCCCATATATATTTTCGTCCGATTTAATGTAAATGGTGCACCAAAGTCTCCAGATATCTTTCGATTTGCACGAAATTTGGCACAGCCTATTGAATTAGGTCTAGAATGATGTGTGTTAACTTTCGTGGAAATCGGTTCGGGTTTAGATATAGCTCCCATATCGGTTCATATTTAGATATAATTCCTATATATATGTTCGACCGATTTAATGTAAATGGTTCACCAAAATCCCTATATATTTTCCAATTTGCACGAATTTCGGCATTATATGAGCCTAGAATGATGTTTGTAAATTTTCGTGAAAATCGGTTCAGATTTAGATATATCTCCCATATATATTTTCGACCGATTTAATGTAAATGGTTCACTAAAGTCCCTATATATCATTCGATTTCCAAGAAATTTGGCATAGCGTACTGAAGTGAGCCTAGAATGATGTTTGTAAATATTCTTGAAAATCGGTTCAGATTTTAGCTCCCATATATATTTTCGATCGATTTAATGTAAATTGTGAACCAAAATCCAGAAATCTTTCGATTTGCACGAAATTTGGCACAGCCTACTGAATTAGGTCTAGAATGATGTGTGTTAAGTTTCGTGGAAATCGGTTCAGATTTAGGTATAGCTCCCATATATATTTTTGTGAGATTTAAGGTAAATGGTATACCAACTGAATTAAGTCTAGAATTATGTGTGTTAAGTTTTATAAAAATCGGTTCAGAATTAGATATAGCTCCGATGTTATGTAAATTGTGCACTAAAGACTCAAAGTTTAAAGACTCATTGAAATTGGTTCAGATTTAGATATAGGTGCACCAAACTCCTCATCAAATAATCAACGGGTGTCCGATTGATATTTGCTTTAAATTGATTTACATAATTTTGTCCCATTGTAAGAAGCAACTCTATACCTGACCACATGAAAAATTTAGAATGATATGTTTATGTATCCAATTTCAAAATCAAAAAATGCGACGTCTGTTAGGATTCCTTCTGTTAAATATACCCAAAGTGGTGAAGGGTATCATATAGTCGGCCCCGTCCGACTTTACTACTTTCCTTATTGTTTTTTTTTTTTTTTTTTTTTTGACATTTTGAAAAAAATATTTTGAAAAATTTCTTAAGACACTTTTTGTTCTTAAAATGTATTAAATAAACAAAAATCCAGAATTATGAAAAAATTATTTTATATATTATTTAAAAAAAAATCCATTAAATTAAACAAATTGTATATTTTTTTTTATTGCATTTTATTTTTTTACTTTTTGTTAAGCTTTGGATTTTTTAATTAAATGACAAATTTATACATTTTAAATTTATCCAAATATGTTGAAGAAAAAAATTCAGAATTATAAAATCATTATTTACTTTTGAATATTATTAAAAATATATGTTGCATTTAATTAAATAAAATATTTTTTTTTAATTAAAAAATTCTTAGATTTTTGTTAATTTTAGGAATTTTTATTAATGGAAAATCTATATTTTTAATAATTTATTAATTGTAAAATGCAGAATTATAAAATCATTATACACCTTTGTAAATCATTAAATAATACACTTCATTTTAATAGAAAAGAAAAGAGTTTCTTGTATTAAAAAAAAATGTCTTTTAATTTTGGATTTTTTAATTAAAGAAAAACATATTTTAATTTTTAAATTATCTTATTTTTATATATTTCAAAAAAAATTATTTTGTTTTTGAATTTTTAATTAATTTTTTTTTTCATTTTTTTAAATATTTTTTTTATTTTTATAATCTTTTATTTATTATTTTTGTATTTTTTATATATTTGCCATCCTTCCCATTATACCCCACTGTGTAATACCACCATATTCATATCCATTCAACAAAATTTAAATATATCCCACACAATAAAATAAGGCGACTTAACATCCTTTTTTCTATTGTGATTTCCTTTCATTGTTATTATTATTATTTTGTTGCTGTTTTTTTTATTATTAATTTTCAACTTCCCAAGAGTTGTTAAACTTTGCCTTTGTACCAATTCCCCCAAACCCTAGGACTGCATGTTGCAAATACTGATGCTGGTTATATGGAGCTTTTCTCATACAATTGTTATTGCTGCTGTTGCAAGCCCCCATTTATAATGTGACGATGACGAAGTAGATGTATTATGACGAGGCTTAAAAAAAAAGCAACAACAACAAAAATATGATGAAGATGCTTCTTTACCCGCTGACGTTGAGTATGATGATGATGATGACGGTGATGGGAATGATTTGAAAATCTAAAGTGTTTTTTATGGCTGCTGCTGCCGTTGTTGCCGGCTGCTCTCAAGTGTTGTAGTAGTAGGAGCTGTTATTTTCATTTCATTTTTTCAATAAGATCGTATGTCAACACAGTTTTTTTCCTTGAGTGTAATGTGTGGATGGTGGGGTGGGGGAGGTTGACAAAAAGAAAAAGTAAACGAGACAAGCTGGTGTTCGATGCCTAAACAACTTTCAATGAAGACACACGGCTACACAAGCTACAATATAACAAGCTTATAATTTGTTTTTATACTTTATCATATACAAAAATATGATACAAGTACCACAACAACAACAACATCAACACGAAAATATGATGGCAAGATGACAACAAGCGCTTTGTTGGTGTTGTTGTGGCAGGGAACGCAAGTAATTCAAATAAATAAAATATAAAAAAATATTTAAATTTATATATGAGGGTGCTAAGAGCGAGGGAATGTAGTCATATCGAATGGATAACGAGGTGGAGGAAGGGAAAAAATAAATTGAAATCGTTTTCAAAGGAATATGTCCCTACGATGATAACTCCCTAAAAATTCGGAACATATTTATAAATAATATTTTGTACAATTTAAAACAAAAAATATAAAATAATAATAAATAAAAAAATATTTTTTTTTCAAAAATTTCCGCTGTCGTTTTTTTTTCTTCTCCATTAAAAATTCATACACAAAAAAAATATTAACACTGATACGTACTTTATGACCATTCTCGCTAATCAATCACTTTTGATGGCTTGTATGTATAAATATATGCATATACATACATATATCTGTTTGTTTACCAAGTGCTTAACTGTTTATTAATGTCATATAAATGTCCTTTTTTCTTCTTCTTCTACCAATTCACAGATAATAATCTGCAGCTTAACTCGAAATACACAAACACACAACTTGAATGACTCTGACATTAAACGCAATGTTAGGTTAGTTTAGAAGCTAATCAAACAAACTGGCCAGACAGGCAACACAGACAGACCGACAGTCATACTATACAGACAGACATATCAAAGTGGTCAACTAGTTTCGTTTTTTTATATTTTTATAAATATTATATAAGAAAGAAAAAATAACTGTCAAATTCATAATGAGTATTGATAAATCATCAGGCAATGCAATATAAACACGGATCAGATACCAAATAACGCACACACACTCACTCACTCACATACATACACACAATAGTTATTTATTAAACGATATATTAATGACCACATTTTTGCTTTCATGATAGAATCAATAGACGTGAGGAGGAGTGAAATGTCTAACATATTTTTGTGAGTGTATTTTATTTCATATTGTATATATTTTTTTTTAAATTAATTTATTATTATTTTTGTGAGTGTATTTAATTTTAATTTCATATAGTTTTTTTTTATAATTTATAATTTTTATAATTTATTATTATATTTTTTAAGAGTGTATTTTATTTTATATTATTTTTAATGAATTATTATACACATTTTTGTGAGTGTATAATATTTATTTTATATTGATTTTTTTAAATACTTTATTAATATTTTTTGTGCATGTATTTTAATTTTTCGTGAGTGTATTATATCTATTTATTTTTTTAATTTGTTACTATTTTTTTTAGTGTATTTTTGTATTTTATTGTTATTATTAATGTTAGTGTTTTTTCTGAGTGTATTTTTTTTATTTTATTGTTATTATTTTTATTAATTTTAGTGTTTTTTTTCTGAGTGTATTTTTTTTATTTATTTCACATTTCCTCATATTTTATATTATTTATTTTCCCTTCTTAATAATTTATTGTGATTTTATTCATTTTTTTTTCGTCTTTACTTACCATCTTTTGGTGGACTGTTACAGGGCGGCGCATAACTACCCAAATGATAGCCAGAATATGAATTTTGATGCATGGGCGGGAATGGATAACCTAAAGCACTGCGTGGACTGGGAAAGCCAGAATCTTGACCACCTTGTGGTGCAAAATGTTGATAACCGCCACGTATGCCACCGTAACTGCAAATAAAGAAGAGAGAGAGAGAGAGAAGAAGAAATAATGAGATTATAAATAATATTAAAAAATAAAAGGGAAATGGTTTAAAAAAAAAACAGAAATGAGTTCAACTTCCAAAAATTTATGTTTTTATTTAAAAAATAATTTCATTAATATTAACTTTAAGACTTTCCCAAAGTGGCGTTCTTATAAAAGATAATATCGGAAAGCAGCTTATGAATTTAATTTATCATACAAAAATATTTTTCAAGTATATTTTTTGTAAAGTACTTTTGAATAACAATTTTTTTAAGTTTGTGAATTTTGGAAAGAGCATATTTTTGAAAATAATATGTCAAATATAAGGACCTTCAGATTAAGCATGGATTTTTTAATGAATATTTTTCAAGGACTTTCAGAGCCCAAATAGAAGGATTCTTGAAAACAATTCTAAGGACTATCTAAGCCGCAAGATATTTTTTTTTAGGTGAAGAAGATTTTGTTGAGGATTGTTTTTGAAAAAAAACTAGTGTGGATTTTTGAAGATTTTTTTAATAAAACGACTTTTTTCTGCCTGGTTTTTATAAAGAATACTTTTTAATCTTATATTTATTAAAGGCTTAAGATTAAAAAAAATTGTAGAAAATAGAAGGATTCTTAAAAACAATTCTAAGAACTATCGAAGCCGCAAGATATTTTTTTAGGTGAAGAAGATTTTGTTAAGGATTGTTTTTGGAAAAAACTAGTGTGGATTTTTAAAGATTTTTTTTTAATAAAATGACTTTTTTTCTGCCTGGATTTCTTAAAGAATATTTTGTTTTAGAATAGAGTTTTTGAAGACTATGTTTGCTTGCGTGGTTTTTTATAAAGAATATTTTTTAAGTTAAGAATTATTAAAGGTTTTAGATTAAAAAAAATTGTAGAAAAATTTTTTTAAGAACATATTTTTTAAAAAAAAAAAAATTTTAGAAACCTTTTTGAATTTTTTTAGGATTTTTTTAAGATTTTTTATATAAATTTTTTTTCTGCCTGGATTTTTTAAAGACTATTTCTTCAAGGGTAGAGGAATTTTTGAAGAAGCGTTTTTTTATAGGGAATATTTTTTCAAGCATTGATTTTTAAAGGTTTTTTTTTTGCCAAAGTAGACTTTTTTATGAAATTATTTTCAAGAATTATTTAAGATTTTTGTTTAAATAAAACTAGACTGGATTTTTTAAAAATATTTTAAGCGCGGATTTTTTCAAGTAGTAGAGTTTTTAAAGATTATTTTAATATTTTTGAAGCGTTGTTTTATAAAGGATATTTTTATACTCTTCATCACACTGTGGTACAGGGTATTATGTGTTTGTGTATATGTTTGTAACAGGCAAAACAATCGAGATAGACCCATGGTTCATTTAGAGAATATACTTTAGAGAATATACATAGAATCACTGAAACTTGGTACAGCTCATTTATTTGGCTCAAGGACGAACCCTTTTTGAATTGGAAAAAATCGGTTCACATTTAGTTATAGCTCCCATATATATTTTTGTCAGATTTAAGGACTTTAGCCCCCGCAAATCATTCGATTTGCACGAAATTTTGCATAGCGTACTGAATTATGTCTAGAATGATATGTGCTAAGTTTCGTGAAAATCGGTTCAAATTTAGATATAGCTCCCATATATATTTTCGCCTGATTTTTGGTCAATGGTACACCAAAGTACCTGAAAATCTTTCGATTTGCACGAATTTTGGCATAGCGTACTGAATTAAGTCCAGAAAGACGTGTGCTAAGTTTTGTGAAAATCGGTTCCGATTTAGATATAGCTCCTATATATAGTTTCGCCCGGTTTTTGGTAAATAGTGCACTAAAGTCCGCATTTATCTTTCGATTTTGGGATAAGGCGCTGAATTAAATCCAGAATGATGAGTGCAAAGTTTCGTGAAAATCGGTTCAGATTTACATACACCTCTATATATATTCCCGTCCGATTTTAAGTAAATGGTGAACTAAAGATCCAAAGCTAGGCAGATTGACACAACGTACTGAAGTTAATATAAATTAATCTCTGATAAGTTTCCTTGAAATCGGTTCAGATATAGATAGATATGCTGAATATACCCAAAGTGCTGAAGGGTATCATACCCAGTCCGACTTTACAACTTTCCTTACTGGTTAATATCTAAGTTTTTCTTAGATTTTTTGAAGCGTATATTTTTTAAAGAATTTTTTTCGAGAACAGACTCTTTCCCGAAATTTCGTAATACAATATTTTCAACCCAAGGTTTTTAAGATTTTTTTTTTTTGTAGAATTATTTAAGCGTATTTATTTTTTTAAAACGTATATTTTTTTTGGGGCGTAGATTTGTTTATTTCTTCAAAAATATATTTTTTAGCGTAGATTTTTTTTAATATTTTTTCAAAAATGAATGTTTTAAAACATATTTTTAACGTGAATTTTTCAAATAAGATTTTTCTCAATCAAAAAATTTAAAAAAAAAATTTTGCAAGATTTTTATTCAAATGTAAATGTAGAAATTTTTATAAGCCTACATTTTTTTAAAAATTTCTTTCAAGCGAAAATCTTTTTGAAGATTTTCTTCGTTTTTTAAGATTTCTTTTTTTAGCAAAATAATTATTTTTGAAATGTTTTTTCTTAAAATAATTAAGGGTTCGTTATTGGCATTTTTATTTTTTGTACAGTTTTTTAATATTTTCGATTCGAATCATTATTATACCCTACACAACTATGTTGTCAGGGTATTATAGCTTTGTGCAGCCCCAAATGTTTGTAACGCCGCGAAATATTGGTCCTAGAACCTTTAAGTATACCGATCGTCATATCTCGACTAGCTGATTTTAGAAGTGTTTACAGGCCACAGTTATGGACCAATCTTCACGAAATTTTGCATGTAGGATGGGTTCTGGCCAATGAAGACCCCTATTGTTTTTGGAAAAGATTTAATATTTAGGGGATGCAATGGACCAAATACTAAATTTTTGTCGGTTTTTCTGGTCGCTCCAGAGGCCGCAATTATGGCCCAAACACCGCGAATTTTTGCATGGAGAAGGGGATCGGGCCAGAGAATAAGCATGCATGTTTTGATAAAGATCGGTCAATATTTAGCGGGTCAAATGGACCCTGACTTTTGTGTGAAAAATGACCAAGTTTGTATTCCATGATATATATTTTTACTCCTGGAGGATGTAGACCCCAGGAGTTAATAGCATATCCAAGAGGAGTGGTTGGCCTTTAAATTGATACCAAATATAGTGATGTATCTACTCAGATGTGGGAGTTACAGTCAAATATTTACAGGTGTTTACGTATTCAGATATTATTTAGTTTACCACATTAGAGGGAGAAATATCGCGCTGATGGCTTTGAAATTTTTCATGAAGTTCCAGTTATGGTCAAGAACAACGCCTACGATTTTCGGTGATGATCAGATTAAAATTTTGGGATGAAATGGACCGAAAACATAATTTTTTGTGTGTTTTCGAGTAGAGTATAATCCGAAAATCACAACACAACCTACCGTAAATAGAAGGATTGTAGTAGGAAGTAAGGAAGAGGTGTTGTTAACCTCTAATCGGACAAGAGGGGGCAAATATCACGAAATATTACTCAGACTCGGAATAAACATCCTCAGAAAGTTAGAGTTCGTGGTAGTTGTGTAGGGTATCGCATGGTCGGCCCCGTCCGACTATACTGCTCCGCTCACTGGTTTTTTTAATATTTTTAATCACAATATTTGTAGAATTTTAAATAATAAAAATATATGTTAAAAAAATAAAATAATAATTTTAAATTCTATTATGGGCTTGAAAAATTATTCGAGATATTCGATTGTGATTTTTTCGGGATATTTCAGGAGAAGCCTTTGTTCGCTGCTCAAGAAGAATTTTTCCGTGGACAAATATATTTTCTACACACAGTTTTTAATATTTTATGTATATGAATATACCTTGTGGGGATGAAAGCCTTAGCAAGAGCAAAATCACCATTGGCCAAGTTTTTTTCAGGTAACTTTAATGTTTATGAATAAAAAGTTGTATGTCTTTGTTTGCGACCATCCCAGAATATTTATGAAATGACATGTCTTCTGACAAATTCAATAAGGAACATTTTTGTGTAAAACATATAATCCTACTATATTGTGCTACTTGTGCGTCTTTTTAGATCTTATGCTCTTCAACATTAAACTAAATACGACAAGTGGAGGTTTTCTAAATACCACAAGTGGATATTCTAAAAAATGTAGCTAGTAAAATGTTAGATAAAGTGCCCAAAGACAAAAAGTCGTCTTTCCTCCTTTTCAACTTTTATCCGATCCTTGTTCAGAAATCCTTATAATAAGAACTTCGATTTTCCTAGTCATATTGGATTGTGCTAGTCTTTATTCCTAGTTATTAAAATCTGGGTTCTTTCCTATGCCCTATACTATACATTCTACTTCTATTTGTATTATAAAACATTTAATTTCTCATAAAAAAGACAATACTCTCTCTCTCCCACCATTAAATAGTGAACCCCTTCCTTCTCTTCCTCTCCCTTCCCCCCAACTACCGTAACCCCTTTCACATTAAATATTTAATAGAATATTGAAACAAGTGTTATAGAAAATATTAACGTAACACATTGCATTAAATTTGTAGGGTCTATGGCGTGGTTGAGTGTGTGCGTGTGTGTTGAATTTCACAAAACAAAAAAAAGCACACAAATCAAAAAAATCTCAGCATTTTAAATTCACACACAGCAGCGACGGCGGTAACGAAAAAAAAAATAGGAAAATAAAATAACTTTTGGGGCGTTTATAATTGAAAATTTATAGCTTCCAGGGGAGTTGAATGGAGCACAGTAGTAGGTACAAGTAGTAATAGGCTCGGTGCCGGTACTACAATTCCCATGTGGTTACTATTATTTTTTTCTTGACCAACATATAGCCACAGGCTAGTGCTATTGATGATGCATTTTATTTATTTCGTTTTTATTTTATATTTTTTTCTGTTATTTTTTTCCTCCGATGTTTATTT